AAACAACATGCTATTACACACCTCATCGGTCAATGAAGAAATCAGAGAAGAAATGAAAAAATACATGAAGAGAAATGAAAATTAAAACAACAGTCAAAAAATAGTCAAAAAATTCTGGGACACAGATAAAGCAGTTCTTGGGGGAAATTTATGATGATACAGGGGAACCTAGAGAATAAGAAAAATCTATGATAACTTTACATCTAAAAGAAATAGAAAAAGATGAGCAAAAAAAAAAATGTCAGAGCAAAAATAAATGAAAGACCAAAAAAAAAAAAAAAAAAAGAAAACATGAACACAATGAAGAGGTAGTTCTTGAAAAGATAAACAAAAATCAATAGACCTTTAGTCAGACTCATCAAGAAAAAAATAGAATTCAAATAAAAGAGAAGTTATAACGGACACCGCAGAAATAAAATTATAAGAAACTACTATAAAAATCATATGCCTACAAATGGGACAACACAGAAAAAAACAGTAAATTCCTAGTAACATACAATTGTTACCAAACTGAATCAGGAAGAAATAAAAAATATGAACAGACCAATTACTAGTAACAAAACTGAATCAATAATGGAAAAAACTCTCAACAACCAAAAGCCCAAGAGCAGATGAGTTCACATGTGAAATCTACCAAACATTTAAAAAAGAGTTAATCACTATTATTCTCAAAATATTCTAAAAAGTAGAAGAGGAAGAAAAACTTCCAAATATACTCTAGAAGGCCAGCATGATCCTGGTACCAAAACCGGATGAAGACATTACAAAGAAAGAAAACTACAGGCCAATATCATGATGAAAAGAGACACAAAATTTTTCAATAAAAGACTGGGCGTCTGGCTGGCTCAGTTGGCTGAATGCCCAACTCTTGGTTTCGGCTCAGGTAATGATCTCAGGGTCATGAGATTGAGCCTTGTGTCAGGCTCTGAAATCAGTGGAAAGTCTGCTGGATTCTCTACCTCTCCCTCTACCCCGTTCATATTTTCTCTCAAAAATAAATAAATCTTTAAAAATTCTCACCAAAAGATTAGCAAACCAAATTCAACAATATAACAAAAAAATTCATCATAATCAAGAGGGATTTATTCTAGGGATGCATGGATGATTCAATATTTACAAATCAATCAGCATGATATGCCACAGAACAAAATGAAGAATAAAAATCATATGATCATCTCAGTAGATGCAGAACAAGCATTTGGCAAAATTCAACATCTCTTCATGATAAAAACTCTCAACAGAGTTTAGAGAGAACGTAACAAAAGCCATATATTACAAACCCCAGTTAACATCATAACTCAACGGGGGGAAAATGGGGAGCTTTTCCTCTTGATCAGAACCAAAACAAGGAGTCTACTCTTGCCCTTTCTGTTCAATATAATAATGGAAGTCCCAGCCACAGCAATTAGAAAAGAAAAAGAAATACAAGGTATCTAAGCTGGTAAGGAAGAATTTAAGCTGTCACTATTTGCAGGTGACATGATTCTATACATACAAAACTCTAAACATTCCATCAGAAAATTATTAAAACTTATAAATGAATTCAGTAGGGTTGCAGAATACAAAATTAACATGCAAAAATGTTTTACATTTCTATATACTAATAACAAAGTAGTAGAACAGAAATTAAGCAGACAATTCCATTTACAGTTGCACCAAAAGGAATAAAATACATTTGAATAAAGTTAACCAGGAAGATAAAAGACCTGTACTTTGAAAACTATAAAACATTAATTAAAAAGATTGAGGATAACACTAACAGATGGAAAGATATACCATGTTAATGGATTGGAAGAATTAAGATCATTAAAATGTTCATACCATCCAAAGCAATCTACAGATTCAATGCAATCCTATCAAAAAACCAAGAGTATTTTTCACATAACTAGAGTAATAATACTAAAATTTGTATGGAATCATAAAAGGCCCTTAACAGCAAAAGCAATTTTATGAAAAACAAACCTGGAGGTATCACAATCCTAAATTTCAAGATATACTATAAAGCTAAAATAGTCAAAACAATTTGGGAGTGGCATAAGAATAGACAATAGATCAATGTAATAAGATAGAGATCCAGAAATAAACCTACACTCACAAGGTCAATTAATCTATGACAAAGGAGGCAAGAACACACAATCGAGAAAAGACAGTCTCTTCAATAAATGGTGCTGGGGAAACTGGACAGCTACACGCAGAAGAATTAAACTGAACCACTTTCTTAAATCACATTTCAATTACCAATACTGTATTAAATATTTCGAAGTGGCTTGGAGAATAAATTTTAAAAGTTCTCATCACAAAATTCAAAAAACTTTTGTAACTATGTGGGGTTACAGACATTAATTAAAATACAAAAAAAAAAAAACAACTCAAAATGCACTAAAGACTTAATGTGTGACCTCAAACCATAAAACTCCTAAAATAAAACACAGACAGTAATCTATTTAGACATTGGCCTTAGGAACATTTTTTTAAGATATGTTCCCAGGCAAGGGAAACAAAAGCAAAGATAAACTGAGACAACACCAAAATAAGAAGCTTTTGCATAGTGAAGGAAATCAACAAAATGGAAAAGCAATCCAGTGAATGGGAAAAGATATTTGCAAATGGCATATCTGATAAAAGAGTTAATATCCAAAATATGTAAGGAACTGACACAATACCCGCCCCCCAAAAAGCCCCCCAAAAATTGATTAAAACTTGGGCAAAGAACCTGAACAGACATTTTTCCAACAAAGACATACAGATGGCCAACAGACACATAAAAAGACACTCAACATCACTCATCAGAGAAATGCCAGTCAAAACCACAATGAGCTATCACTTCACACCAGCTAGTATCAAAAAGAACATCTAGTATCAAAAAGACATAGAAATAATGAGTGTTGACAAGGATATGGAGAAAAGGGAATCCTTATGCATTGCTCGTAGGGAATGTAAGCTGGTGTGACCACTGTGGAAACAGTATGGAGTTTCCTCAAAAAAAATTAAAAATAGAAATATCATATGATCCAAAAATTCTACTACTGGGTATTTACCCAAAGACTACAAAAATGCTGATTCAAAAAGATATCGCTATGTTTACTGCAACATTATTTACAATAGCCAAGATATGGAAGCAACCCAAGTGTCTACTGATAGACAAATGGATAAAGAAGATATATATAAAAAATGGAACATTAGCCATAAAAAATGAGAACTTGACATTTCTGACATGGATGGACCAAGAGAATATTATGCTAAATGAAATAAGTCAGATAGAGAAAGACATATACCATATGATTTCACTTATATGTGGAATCTAAAATAAAAAAACAAAACAAACATACAAAGCAGAAAGATACCCATAAAAACAAACAACAAATTGGTTGTTTCCAGAGGGAATGTGGGTATGTGGGATGGGCAAATGGGTGAAGGGAACTGGAACATACAGGCTTCCAGTTATGGAATGAATAAGTCATGGGAATAAAAGGTACAGCATAGGGAATATGGTCAATGATATTGTAATAACATTGTATGGTTACACGTGGTGAACATAGCATAATATATAGACTTGTTGAATCACTATGCTATACACCTCAAGTTACTGTAACATTGTACGGCATATATAATTCAATAAAAAAGAATATACAAACTTCCACCTATAAGATAAATTCTTAGGATATAGTGTACAGCATGTGACTACAATTACCAATACTATATAAAATATTTCAAAGTTGCTAGGAAAATAAATTTTAAAAGTTCTCATCACAAAAGGAAAAAACTTTTGTAACTATGTGGGGTTATGAACTAAATTTATTAACTAAACTTACTTTGGTGACCATTTAGCAATATATACATATATAAGATATTTTGTATACCTTGAACTAATACAATATTAAATGTTAATAATATCTAAATCTAAATAAACTGGAAAAAAAAAACCACTCTATCTTCTTTAACTGGTCAACCCAGAACTCATCCATCAGGACCAGATTGTTTATTATGTTGTTCATATATATGTTTCCCTTGCTTATTTAGATCTACTTAAGAGAAGTATGTTAAATACCCAGACAAACCTCTAGCAAGAAAAAAAAATGTCAATACAAAACAACTACATGCTAACAATTTTGAAAACTGAGACAAGATGGAAAAGTTTCTTAAGAAAATATATATACCCTATGAGATGTGACTGAAGAAAAAATTAAAATCTTGAATAGTCCTGTGACCATTAAAGATAATGAAGCAGTGGTTAAAAATCTTCCCCCAAAGGTGCAGTTAGATGTTAAGAGTAGTTTTAAGGATGTCTTTTTTCTAGAAATCATGAGAAAAATCAGGCCTAATACATGTCAATACATTTTCAGAGAGCATGTATAGCAGAAACACAACTATGGTAACAACTGTAAAAAATAAAATAATAAAACCTTGAATATGTATATCAACAAAAGCTATTGCTGTTCTAAAAAGCTCAGCTGGCGACTTGCCTCCCCTCCGCTGCTCACATGCTGATGTGCCAGGGCTGTTCTCTGGGACAGAGGCTATCTCCATCAGACTAATCATCAACCACTACTGCTCACAAGTTGGCCAGGAAGGAAGAGCACCTTTGTAAGTGAGATTTATTGGAATGAACAAATTGCAATATGAAAATAAAACAACTGAGTGGAAAGGAGTCATCTGTGATTTGTTAGGAGTGTGATAGTACTATCACTAAAGATTTTTTTGTGTGTTGTGTTTGTTTGGTTGGTTTATTAGAAAAAGAAAGGTATCCCACTTTCCCCATCTCCAGGATATATTATATGTATTTTTCAAAGCTCATTCCCCTCTTTATTTTCACTAGGGCGTGATCATTTATTAGGCATCATTTTTAGGAAGCAGGATGAAATTTAGTGGCTACACCAGCTGCAAAAAGGGAGCTCATACCTCTTTCTACACGTAAATATCTCTTCTTTAGTAGCAGCACTGCAAAAAGTAACCTCACTGAACCATTTGAATAAACTTCAAAAAGAACTTCAACCACTCACCTGGATACAAGCCAGAGGCTCATTTGTCCAAATCGAATAACCACCAACTAAATATATTCTCTCATTATGGACAGCAACTCCAGATTCATTTTGGCCTAAAGTAAAGAGAATTGAATAAAAAGAAAAAATAAATCCATCTCCTTGCATGTCTTAATTAACCCTTTTGCCACTGAGGGATACAATTTCCCCCTGTGGCACACTTGTATGCTCCACAGGATTTTTGCAGCAACTAATCACCACCTCCCAGTACTCAGAGGGAAGAATTAACCACTCTTTCACAGAGAATGAACCTGTGTCAGGTCAGAACCAGGCCAAAATACTTATTAGTGAACCAAGTTGGTAAATGCAGCATTAAATACAGCAATAATAAGCAATAACAAAATAAGAGTTCTGTGCTATGTTGTATGCCATTAACTTACAGTGGCAGAAATAATGTATATTCTTGAAATGCAAAACACCTCCATAAATGCTTTTAAAGCAAATGCTTACATTTGTAGAGTAACAGCTGCAACCCCAAGAAGCCAATAAAACAGAGCCATACCCCTAGTGTCCTTCAAATGAAGACAAATGACAGAAAACATTGATAAAGTTACATTTATCCCTTTCTTTACATACACAACAGTTTAAGACTATATTAAAGTTCCTGATCTGGGACCAGCCCGGGGTTCCCTAGATACTGACACGCCAAAATGATGGAAGCTTCCTCCCCCATTAAAAAAAAAAAAAAAAAAGACAGAATTACTCACTATCACCTATTCTTCCCTGGAGGCCATCAGAGAGTGAGAGAGTCTCTTTTTATTGATGGGCTGACACCGGATTGACTGTGGTAATAAATAAGCTGGATCCTACAGCAGACAGAAACACAGATCCAGGGACCGAGGGGCTAAGGTACCACTACAGCAACTTGGAGAGAGTTAAGTACTTGTAGGTGGGCCTCAAAGATCGTTTTCACAGTAACAGGAGCTCCACACTCAGGGGGCCTCCTTGGCAGCAGCTGTGAGTGGTGGCATGCCCACTCAGCATATTAATATGTCTGCAGGTGCTAGCCCAGCCCACTATTTTGAGTTTGTGTGATGTACTTATTTAGTGGAGCATCCTGGAAGGGACCCAATCCCCTGTGGATGTTTAAAATGCAAGCTGACAAGGGAAAGTTTTCGATTCTAAAAAGGAACATCAGGGAGCAGCCCGGGTGGCCCAGAGGTTTAGTACCACCTTCAGCCCAGGGCCTGATCCTGGAGACCGGGGATTGAGTCCCATATTGGGCTCCCTGCATGGAGCCTGCTTTTCCCTCTGCCTGTGTCTCTGCCTCTCTCTCCCTCTGTCTCTGTCTCTCATGAATAAATAAACAAAATCTTAAAAAAAACAAAAAAAACAAAAAACAACGTTAAGGGTAAGTTGTCCACTGCTTTTCTTTTATTCCCTTTTGGGATGAGGAGGGTCCGTACCTAGTGTTGCCCTGGGTAATGCCTGAATAGCTATGTGGCCAGAAACACCACCAAACCCTGTGCACAGAACTGGCCTGAAATTTAGTTGTTAGGAGAATATAGACAGAACCCATATTTGACAGTAACAAATAATGAAGATCAGACTCCTGACCTCAAAATAAATCAAAGAGGACTAAACGCGAAAAGAAAAAAAAAAGATAAATTGCTTCTGTAAAGAGTTATCAGTTCTCTGGTTCCTCTTAATTGTCTCAAAGTTCCTGTGTGAATATTTATTGCCAAGAAATGGCTTGACAGACCTCTCTCAACCAAGTGAGAAGACACAAGAAAGTAGCGGAGGCCCTGAAAAACTAGACTGATCATCTGAGAGTCACATTTTGTGAGACAAATAATATGCACCTTTCTGGTTAATATGAGCAAGTTATTCTCCCACCATGCACTTGTATTTAGAGATGCTGTGAAGACGTATAAGAAAACAAGTGTGGCAACTTGTTGAATCTCTTCTCTTCCTGATTGACTTAGTCAAAGGTACTTGCCAGTCAAAAGGTTGAAATTACAACGCGTCCACTGATCAGTGTCGATGTTATAAGAATCTATATGCCGCACAAGGATCCGGTCATTATTATAGTCCAAGTCATTGCCTCCAAGAACATAAAGCTTTCTTTGAACAGCAGCCATGGAATGGTAGACCCTTCTCTGCAGCATGGGACTACGGCTTATCCATTTATTCTGAAAAGAAATTCAGGTGAATTCTGTTAATAGGAGAGCTCCACAGCAGAAAACAGCAGTGCCTCCTTAGTAGCTGGGACTCTAGTTTGTCCATCACGTTCTACTGGAATGATGCTTACATATTTTGAAAGGTATGGCTTTCTTACCTGAGAACAACTACAGAAGAACCAAATATTCCAACTTTATTTTGCAACTTACAAAGGCATTTCCTCTTGTCTGGGTTGCATTTTACAGGGCATTTGCATTTTATAAGGGAAGCACACGAGAATGTAGAAATTTTCATGATGGTTCTCTCACCCAATAGAATGTACTCGTGCAAATTGCTTAAGAGTGAAAGCACATGGCTAGGTATAATGTAAGAAACAGGCTCTCGGGGCCTGGGTGGCTCAGTGGTTGAGCACCTGAGTTGGGCTCAGGTCATGATCCGGAGTCCTGGGATCGAGTCCCTCATCAGGCTCCCCACAGGGAAGCCCCTCTGCCTATGTCTCTCATGAATTTAAAAAAAAAAAATCTTAAAAGAAAAGGCCCTGAAGCCAGAATGTCTGAGTTTATAACCTTTGTGTGACCTTGAGTAATTTATTTAACCTCTCTGTGCCTGTTTCCTCATCTGTTAAGTGGGGAGAGTCCTCCCTTACCTGACAAGCTTGTTATGAAGATCAAATTCATAAAATATTTATAAGAGTGACTGACACATAATAAATATACACTTTAAAAATTATTGTGATAATAATCACTGGCTACCCAAGGCCTCTACATAAACTAGGGCTGGGATAACCTTGCTGTTCTTTCCAAAATTAACCTCCCAAGATCAATGGAAGAGCAAAGATCTGGTTTCACAACAAAGTCCCATGCTGTCTTAGTATTAGCCCATTTTAACGCATTTATAATCACATCTCCTACCAAACTGGGAAAGTTATTTCTAGGCATAGGTTTGTTTTGGTAGAAGGCCAAATTTTATACAACTTCAGGAATGATGAAAGGTCCACTATTTGGTTCTGGGTCACTCTCAGTAATGAGAAAGACATGCTCAATTCCTTTTAAATATGGCTCCTTTTTAAAATCTAATTGAAAACGCAAAATTAGATGAAAATCAAATATGACCTTAATTTTAAATCTTAAGTAATGGACAGGTAAGTAAACCTATTTCCTTTGTACATAAACACTAACCTACAGGAAGAACCCAGATTCCTTTTTGTCAAGAAAAATTTGGATTTTGATAGATCATCCGATGTTTCTAATACATAGAACTTCACCAGTTCACAAAGCTGTAAAGGAATACGTTTTTAAAAAGTTTACATAAACATTGGTCCATTCACTAAAAGCCTATCTACTAGCTCATTTCTAATTTCTCTTTTAAAGATAAGACTTTAAAAAGAGTGGTTTGTCCAGTTTGAAAAGGCTTGTATATATCTGCTCCCCCCCTTTTTAAACATGTTGGAAGAATCTTGTTCCAATCAAATGTCTTTTTTAAGAAAATAGCCAAACCTTTCTTTCAGATATTCTGTGAAGAAATATATTCAATACATTTCACATGAGTGGATTTAACTCAAAACTCTGATGTCTTCCTTGGGTGCTTTCTATGAGGCAACCCATCCCGGTATTAGGAATCAGCGTTTGCATTAGCAGTCCAGTCCCCTGCCACAGGACTGTGGACGCCATCTGGTTTGTAAAGCCTGCCTGCATCCCCTGATTATATCTTTAGCTTCCTTCACTGCCGTGCCTGCCAGGTGAGCCGCCAACCACTGCAAAGGCAAAGAAACAGAGAGGCCTAGTGGGGTCATTCCTAATAAGCTAGCGTGTGAATACTAATCAGTAGTGGGGAAGCAGAGGTCACCCCAGCCTGCCTGTTGGCAGGTAGCGATGTGCTCTGTGGCAGATGGCAGGCATTATCGACTCTCCACAAAGGCCTAGAAGAGAAATAAGCACCAGGGCTGAATGATAGAGTTATTGAGATTCTGAACAAGATGCAAGCAGATGTGATGTTTGCCAGTACCCACCGTAAACAATATGCCAGTAGAATTATTAAAAAGAGCATGTGTGTACAAACATGAAACAGAACTCATTTGAGAAATGTTAACACCTTCTTCCTCTTTAACCACGTGTGCACCGAACTCAAGCAACTGCAATTAATGATCCCTCTTGAGACATCTGGCCCATGGACATGTGGTCTCTGAAATCTACAGCTTCTAATGACATCAGGAAACACACTTGCAAAGAGAGAAACACCTTCGTTAAATTCAGAATCAAATCATGTTGAAATAAAAAGACACCAAATCGACTGAGGTCATTCAGGACACATAGTTGGTGGCCAATCCTGACCCAGGCTGCCAAAGCCAACCTGTTGTTCCATGTTCCATTATCTCCAGCTGATGGATATTAAATCCCCATATCAAATCATTTTGGAATACTGCCACCATTATGAAAAATATTTACATTACCAAAATCATAGAAATGGTGAAATTCTGAAAACATTTGCCAAGGCCACAGATACTGTGGTCGAAGGAAAAGAGAACAAAATTAGTTCTTCTTTTGGGGACAAAAGATTCATTGAGGGTCAATGGCAAGTGAGCAGAAGAAGGGCCAGATGTCATCAAAATGCTACTAGTTCAGGCACCAGCTGTTAGACAAAATACATCCTCACACTTTCCAGATACTTCAGACTTGTCCTAGATAATGAGCTAAGACATTTTGGCTACACTGAGTTAAGTAAAAGTTATTATTTTATTTGGCAGTCATGAAACAGTAAGCATGTTCCCCTCTTGAAATGATAATCTTCTAAAAGGACATACAACAGGTCAATCAAAATCCTTTCTCTGGATGCCTCTATGAACAGCCCCTTGAGATAATGGAAATAAAGGGCATTGACCTCATCAACATATCTCCCCTTTTTTCTACATCATCCAAAACTCTGAAGGAGTTAAGCATAGTGTATAGCATAAAGCTAAGGGAACTAAAATTTTGTGAGAGGAAAAAAAGGCAACCAAAAGGCAGTTGATCCAGATGCTTCCTTTTCTCTATATAAGTTTAGGATGTATGTGTGTGTGCATAGACTTGGCATTTCAACCACTAATGACTGTGGAAATCTTTTAAAATTCATTTTAATTAAGGTAATGAGTTTTTCTTATATGATTCTTACCTGGTTCGGTTCATATACCATTAGTCTGTTCTGATATTGTGCTGTGTTAGTTACCCCACCTGGAATGGATTAACATGTGTTAGAGCTTTCATGAATACGAAATAGGATATTCCAACGTAAGAATGAGATACAATTAAAGGAAAATTAGCTACTGCTGAGGATCTGTTTGTATACCCTCGTGGTGAACCCATGACATAATTAAGAAGCTTATTGTTGAAGCAGTTTCATTTTCAAGAAACATTTCAGAAGCAATTCAATTGAGAGCAAGCAACAAGTATGCTGAGATTACCAAGAGGTCCCAATTCTGGCAAGCTGCTCTGCATGGCCAGAATGAGGGGCAAAGTATGGAAGGAACAAAACACACGCGGACAAATCTCTATGAAATTTATGCCCAGGACAGAATTATATGGAAAATTCTTGTCCTTAGATAACTGGCAATTTTACAGCTCTAACCTTCTGTACACAAACACAGTGATATCTTGATAACTCTTTGGAGGAACTATATCTAAGAAAAGACATGACTTATCAAAAGAAATCTAGAGCCAGAGCCAGAACATAATGGGAGCCATCAATGTGAGTCACGTATGCAAATTTAAATTTTCCAGTAGCCACATTAAAAACTGAAAAGAAATATTGAAAGTAAACTTAATATAAATTTTATTTTACTCAACATAGGCCAAATATTATTATTTCAGTGTGAAATTAATATAAAAATTATGGAGGTACCTTATATTCTTTTTTTTAGCTATTGTCTTGAAAATCCAATATATATTTGACACAGCACATCTCAAACCAGATTAGCCACATTTCAAGTGCTCTAATAAGGCACATGTGACTATGGGTGACCATATTGGACAGCACACATCTAGAGCACTGCACATAGTTGGTATTGTTATCAACTTTTCTAAAGCCTCCTGACAACTGCTTAGATCCAAGACTCAAGACCTTCTGCTTACTCAAGAACCACTAAAAAATCATCACATTTCTAACAAAGTTTCTCTTATCTGTCCTCATGCTTCCTTTCACATTTGTGGTGTGCAGTGAACCCTATAAAACCCAGAAATTACTGATTCTACTTTAATTTTTACCACCAAATGGGAAAACTAAAAACCATATAAAACAGCACTATAAGAAAATCACACTAGGAGATATTAAATGTTAGGTAAGAAAATAGCAAGAATATGAGAATGTCCCCCTCCCCAAATCTCCTTAGAAATAGTGCTTTTTGTATAGTTCTAGATGCTCATTTAAAATGAGCAACATTTTCATAAGTATCACAAAGAAGCAGCTAATTTTGCAATAAAGATCTCAAACTGAACCAGACTAAAAGTCTTTTCTACTGAAATTTTTTGAATTCAAAAAGTGTATACTGTTACAATAATGACCAAAACAGCCTTAACATTTTTCTCAGTTTGACTCTACTTTATCTTTCTATCTCTAGGCCCCTGACATCCCTTTTCTTAAAGTACTTAACTTTAGAAACCCTGTAAATGCTTTCTCCACCTCCGCGAGATACAAATCACTTAAGAAGCTTCTTGCAAGTTGTACAACCTAGGAATAACTTCCTCAAAGACCTAGGAGCCATCCCATTGAAATATAATCATCAAGGAAGATGATGTTCCTATCTCCCAGTTTCTATGCAGGAGGGTGGGAGCCTCACTCTGATGAGTGCCAGTCAGCAAACACAAATGGCCTAATTACAGTGAAAAACATTTACAAAATCAGAGGGAGCTGAATATGCTCAATACATCACATTGATCAACCTTCCTCCAAAGCTCCTTCAGTATTTTTCTCATAAAGTTCAGTGTTGTTTTTTTTTAAGATTTTTTTTTATTCATGAGAGACACACAGAGAGAGGCAGAGACATAGGCAGAGGGAAAAGCAGGCTCCCTGCAAGGAGACCAATGAGGGACTTGATCCCTGGACCTGGGATCACACCCTGAACCCAAGGCAGAAGCTCAACTGCTGACCCACCCAGGCATCCCAAGTTCAGTGTTTCGAAACCCTCCTACCTCTTATTCTTCAGAGGTGTTGATATCAGACTGCATTCTGGTCCCCTCCCCTATTGCAATAGTCTTGAACAAAGTCTTCCCTGTCTGCTTAACTTTGCCCAGTATAACTTTTGCTTTGACGGTTCAGTCCTTAGAATAAGTCACTACCATCAACTCTGTGGCCAGGAATTAAGTCAATGAGAATCCAGAGGATTTGTGCACAATCATCAACTGAGCTGAATAACCAATCAATACTAATGGATACATAAAGGGAAAGGGAACCTGTCCAGGCCAATCATTACTCTCTCATTCAACCCCAATAAGGAGATCATATCTTTCATATAATTGACTATGGCTTTTATTAACTGGAGGGCTTTTTTTTTAATTCTCTCTGAAGCCTGCAACTACTTTTAAGATCAATGAAAGCTTTATCTGGAGAGTAAATTCACAAAGAACAGAGAGAAACGAGCTTCCTGCCCTCAAAGAGTCTTCTCTGCATTTCTTATCGAATGTCTCATTTTAAAATAAAATCAAAGGAAAAGAAAATACACTTAAGCAAGCAGAGGCTGAAATGCCTACACAGAGTCAAAATGTATGTCCAAATAAACACAGAGGTATGTTTGCTTTTTCCTCCCAACCTTCCTTTTCTTATCTGATTAAAAACTGAATGTCCAATCATTCTTTCTTAGCATAACTACATAAGAATAATCAAATCTATTGAGACCTCACAAGTCTTCAGGGTTAAAATGATTGCCAAGTGCTTTTGATCTGGGCCATAACCACCAGATTAATGTCCAGCTCACCTATAATCATTTCTCCAAATGAGAGGGAGCAGAGGGTAAAGCTCCCACCCATTATTTCAAAACTTTGACAGTTTCTCTCCTTGTTTTAGAAATATGGGACAGAATTAATATCTACTGCAGTAAACTATCTGTTTATGACACTATTTGAAAATATTTACACTACTATATGTATCAGGCTCTGCCCATTATAGATTAAATGTACAACCAATGGATTAGAATGTAGCTATTACATCCTCTCTCCTAGCCAGGGCACACAATTTATCTTCATGCTCTTCAGACTTATTACTTACTCTCTTCTACAGTTGTATTTGTAATAGTTTTTCCCCCCTTAATCTGCACGCAGTAATTAGATTCCTTACCCTTACATACAAATTTTCACTCACATGACAATGTTTAAAAATGAGATACTGGGTTACTAGGTGAAAGTAAAAATAAAAATCCTAGTTAGTTATTTGGTTGATTACTTCTGGAATGTTAAACCACAGGAGGTGCCTAAAAACCTAGTGTTGTAACTTTTGCCAAGTCAGGATTGCAAGGGAGAACCTTAGAAATTGGTTTTATTGCTTTCCTCCTTTGAAATAATTTACAAATGATCATATAAATAAAAACCATTTGTTCTCAGTACAAAAAATAAATTTCAAAAAAGCATCCAACTTTGTGGCCCACATTTCTCTAGCAGTGTTATTTGCAGAGCTTTATCATTACATTCTCTTCACATAACACTCCTCACTTTTAGATTAATCTGCTGAAATGAGATGCTAAGGATTTGCATACAGATTTGACTATACAAAAATAGATATGGAATTAATAACAGTCTCTATATGTTTTAATTTCTCCTAGACTGGAGTACCCTTGCCTGCAGCAGTATTCCTGGCTTTGAAAGTCATCAAGCTGATTTGCCTGCTCTGGGTTATGATGCCACATGCTGCTATACTGTCCCCTGCAATCAAAGCACTTGCAAAGATAGATTCTATGCCTCCCTCTATCGAGTACATTTCATAGATTGGCAGTTTTGATCTCCCTCCCCCACCCCAGGGGGGGGATAATCTGCATCTTAACAGCTTTCTATAGATACATTTGTCATTAAATATGCCATCTCATATCAGCATCCATTTTTAAAGCCAAGTTTTCCCTAACTTTGAAGTGCCACAGTCCAAGTTAAGACTTTTCAACCAAAATTGAAAATGAACAACGCTGTCTCATACTTTTGAACTGTGACTTAAAGATATACTGCAGGTTCCCCCAAAGTCAAATAAGTCTTTAAAAACTGCCAGAAGGAATGAAAAGTTACCACCATGCTACCAGCAATGAGAAATGCTTTCTATCATCAAGACAGAGTAAAGCATTTTTCTTAAGCTTCCCTGTTCAGCTCTTCACAAAACGTGGTGACAAATGGATGAACGCATACCAAAGAAAGGATGACAGGTGGTTGCCAAACAAGCGATTTTTGTCTCGACTACTGCAAGTCACTGACTCCCAAACTCACTGTGCTCAAAAGCAACAACTGGTCGATACTGACAATGTCTACATAATACTGGGTTTAGGAAAACAGCTCTCAATATACATTGGTCAGGGTAAGTCAAGTCAGGGGCTCTATTTTTTTCCTCCGAGGAGAGAAAGTACATCTGTTGATACAGAGTCCTATATACTACACTGTTGAGTAGAAACCTGCACTACATGATACAGCACTTGTACCCTTAGAAGGACGGAGTGGAATGCACAGAACTGAACGTGTCCGCGCTCTCAGGGAAGACACTGCAGGTTGGAACTCTGCCAGCCAACTGAGGACTGCGGAAAACCATCTCAAGTTCTCTGCAGCTCTCCTGGAGGCCTGCAGGGTCCAGCGTTAGGCTGGTCTAGGGGCAGAGTCTCAGGACGGGCTGGGGCATCACCCCGCACAGGTTCCTTTAGGACGATCTTTGTGAGAGAATTTAACACAGCCAGGCTCAGGTTCCTTTTATGCAAACTGGAGATGACACTCTCTCTCCCACAGGTTTTGGATTCGGAGCGCACAGCTTAAAGGCAACCCACACACAGAGGAAGTTCACTACAGTACGGCAGTAGTTTATTTATGGGAGTTTCTTATCATTTCCATAAAAAGTACAAATGAGTATATACGGAATATTGAAAATATAATGAAGTATAGAATATTGAGTTAAGGAATGAATTTTGTCTGAAAGTAGTAGTATTATTTTTTTTAACTTTTTTTTTAGTATTTTTTTTTTCTAAGAACGAGATTGCTGGCTGGTCTATAAGGTATCAAAG